CGCAGTCTCAGTGACGACAAAATTGACAACGACGGTGAGGCAATTTATGCTTTCTGTTTCCGGGACCTTTCTCACTAATACTTCTTAAAAATAAAACGATTAAATAATATAGTTTGGATATAATCTTTTGCTTAACATTTTTTTGTTTTCATTATTATCCATACTTTTGTAATTTTAGTTTGGGATTGTTCATTATTGTGAACGAAAGTTACGTAATATATACAAGTCATTTGTTGAAATTAGACCTAAGAGAAAACGACACTAGCATGAGTCATACATACTCTTGCCCTGAAATTAGGACTATGGAATTGGGAAAGACAACGACATTGTCTTCTATTTATTGGACACTAAGTTAATGTTGCCACGTGCCATTAATACCTTCTTATCAACTCTTGACACTTGCGTTTAGGTTCGAATCATTTTGAAAAAAGAAGAGTAAATGCTTATTCTAAATATATAAGGCGAAATTCCACAACCAAAATAGACTGATTATGTAAACTAAGCCTCTACGTGAAGTAATATATACTATGTTGAATCAATCTTGAACCCTGACATGTTGATATTGTAGCAAAATTGTGGACTCGTCCACATGGATTCTCGTGTAAATTATAATATTATAACTTGATTTATTCATATAGTAATTAAACTATTTAAGTTGATATCTTTGTTTGAAAGTAAATAACGTAATGGTCCCCGTCGAATTCATATATACTAGCTTTTGAATGATACATTTAATATAGTCATACCGTTTCGGACAAAGTTTTTCCCTCACTCCTTTTCTAACTAACACACATTTAGGTACATATATAGCTGCATGTAAATGCATATTTATACATATAATATACAAGATATAAACAGTTATATACGGTGGTCAGTATTTCTCAGCTTCTATTTTCCTGTCTAATGACTGTTATTCAATTAGTTGACTTGAATATAAACCTCTCTTTTTTATTCGATGTCTAAAAAGTTGTCTTGCCAAATTAATAAAGAGATAAACCTGATTGAAGAGGAAAATGTGCAGTGACGCAATGCCTTGTAATTGAACACGACTTGAGAATTGGAAGCGGGAAGCATAGATGCAAAGCAAGTAGGTCCATAAGAGTTGGTGCCTTCTTATTCAACTTGTCCTTATTTCTTTTCCCCACTCAAAACTCTTCGACATGGATGTGCTCATAGCAAAAGTATAAACATATATCCAGTTTCTTAGTATACATTCAAATATGTAACTAAAAAATCCAAGTTAATTAATGTACAGCAAAATCAAACTATTTTAAATATCATATAATTAACTGAACAAATAACTTAGCTTGAGTCAATATTTCATCAAAAATTCTGTTATAAAGAATAATAATTATAATTGGTTATGTTTAGCAGAAGTTAATAAAATCTGAAGTTTAAAAGAACTTGTTAGCGTGTACGAACAATTCAAGTGTTAAACCAATATACTTACGGATCGGATGTATATAAGATTTTTTTTTGTTAATGGTGTATGCATATATATTAAAGGTTATATAAATATTGAGTTGTGATGGTTGTGAGTACGAAATAAGGAGATGGAGAGAACGACAAAGAGGTGTGCGGAACTGGGGTTGGTGTCCAACAAAGAAGAGACATCTAATATTATGTTCTCTACGTTGGGATCTTTTCTAAGTGACCCACTTTTGTTTTGCTGTCTTATATGTATATCTCACTTTCATTATTTCATCTATCTACGACTACAAACCATGCATCCCCATTTTGCCCTACCATATGCTCTACATCCATACGTGCGTCTCCAAATACATACACTTTATCATATTCATATATACATATTATTCATATTACATTTTCAATATGTATGTGTATATATATGTGTTATAATTTATAACATATATATGTGAGAAAAATGATAGCAACACAAAGGATTCAACACATATTTACGTGGTTTACTGATAAATATATTGGCTAAGTACACGGACAAATGAATCGATTTCATTACTAGCTAGAGACAAAAGGATGAGCAAAATCATGTGAGCCTAGACCCAAAGAGAAAGAAAACCTAAGCCAAAATTATGGTCCATAAACAGAATAACTTTAGCAGACTCTCGAGCTAAGCTATATGTCATCGAATTCAGTGTGTGTTCAGTATAACAACAACGGAATGCAAGAAACACCATGTTCTAAATATGACTAAATTTTGATAAATGAGTAGCATGTAAGAAATACATTTGTTTAAATGAAAACAAATTATAGTATTTCCCAATTATACATTTTTCGAAATTTATTTGTATCATATGATCAGTTTACTTCATTTTAATTTATCGTACTTATGCAATTATCACCGAAATACGATTAATGATGTATTAATATGCTTAAGCAAAAGAATGTCAAAACTATAACAATTTATGGATTTCTCATGATTGTTTTCAGGTTCACGCTATGACCAGATGCTTTACAAGTTTATTTCCCTAACCCGTATGGGTTGGCATGATGATAAATTGATAATTAGGGCTAGTTAATGGTGATGATGACACAAAGGAATTACTACCTTTTATTATCAGTAAACAATTTTTAGGCCCTTTAATCTATGCCTAGAAGGTCCATTTAGAATGAAAAACAATTTGACTGATTAAAAAAAGAATATCGTTTACCTGCCAAAGTAAAAAAGTACTTAGTAGTCACAAAAGCACAAACACAAATCATGTGATTGAGAAGACTGCCACAATCTTAGTTACAATTTTCAAATCCTCATTCTATTCCAACTTTCACGGCTCTTCAAAATAAATATTTCTGAATAATAAAACTTTTCATTCTTACTATATAGAAACAGTTATACGTAGATATATATGATGTAACTCGAGTCATGTTCGAACAGATGGAAAAGCCAAAGATTATCCTTGTCTGGTATGAAATTGAATACCTCCCTTATGTAGAATAGACTCTCCATGTGCACTGATTTATTATAGATTCTTTGTTTTCCCACCTATATATAAATAAATTATTTGATTTTAAACAAGAAAATATTTGAAAATTTAATCTTATAGAGGGAAACACAGTAGGCCACATGCTCATGCTCTTTTTCTCTCCTTTTTCTTCTCCTGGCCAAGCCAAGCAGTGATGACATGTTTAAAGATTGCTCACGTTTTGGAAATTTTTGAAATATGTACATAAATATTTAGGAAATTATTATCTCTGATAGTTACAGTAAACCACTCGGTGGATTGATTCATTTGGAAACACATAACATCATGGATTTATTACATACGCCAATAATAATACAGAGTTCTAGACTTTTGGTTACTGATTCGCCTAATTGTTATTTTTAGAAAATAAAGGATACAATGTGTAGCTTTGCATGTGATGTTTTTTGAAGGAAAAAAATGGAAAACATGTGATGTCTATATATGAGCCTAATTTAATTATTGAGATGCATAATGACCATCTTTGATAGTATTACGAAAACAATGATACGAACTATGTATATATACAATGTGGATATGTAAGACGATGGAGAAGCATTGGATCCATTAATATAATAATTCTTTATTAGGGTGTCAATCATATGACCATATCTTTGACTTGAATCTGATCCTATGATTGCATATGTGGCTATGTAGTATTAGAAGAAAATGATTTATCCTTGGAACTATTACTCGCATTTTTCTTAGAAACAAAGAAAATATAATGAAACATTTGTTGCATAATTAATTTCAAAAACCTAAACAAATATTTGAAGTGTCTATAGGAAATGTTTGGTGCCAAAAGCGAAGGGGAACATGGGATGGACCACAAAAAAAATAAACTTTCGAATAAAATAAGTTAAGAACAAATAAATAAAAATAAAAAAAAACGACAAAAAGATAATTAATAGTGCCACCCAACTTGTGGGGAATATCTAAGATGGGATAGTTTGTCTGGGTTGTTTGAGAAATGTCATTAAAAAAAAATTCAAGTGATTTGATTTTTTTTAAAAGGTTTTTAAGAAGAAAAAAGAGAGAGAGAGAGAGAAATAGTGTAGCTAATATTAGGACCATATTGAAAATTGAAAACTTATATTAAACCACAAATGGGTTAATAATTAGTTGATTACCATCATAGTGTTTTAAAGCAAATAAAAAATTGAACTAGCTCTGATTTTGAAAACAATTGATATTAATTAGAGAAAATTGCTATCCAATAACATATAATAATCACGTGGACAGAAAATAAAGCCAATGCATAATGTTTTGATCTCGTGGTCAGTGTGCAGAAGACATAGTTTAGTTCTACCACAGTTTACTTTCTCTTAAAGAAGTATCATTGTAATGGTGACAAAACAAAACAATTTTTTTTATGTGTTAAGCTATATTTTCATAATTCAAATTTTGTTAGATGTATGTGCACGAGTTGTTGAAGCTTATGTGACCCACGTAATTAATTTCACCGCCAATGAAAGCACTTGATATATGTATCAAATGGTATCAACGACAAAACTTTAACGTCTTGTGATTTGAAATGACAGAAAATCCATCCTACATTTTGGTGATTTTGTGTAGTTGAAACAATGGGATAATGGCTGATAATATATCTTTAGTTTTAGTTTTACACAGTCATATGTTCATAATACTATACATGTATAAGCTTCATATGTTCATAATACTATACATGTATAAGCTTCAAGTTTGGTGGTTATAGTAGTTGCCGAAATGATCATATAACGGTGAAAGATAATAGTAATAACGGTATAAAATATAAATCATGTGATTAAGGCCACAAGATTTCGTCTAAAGTATAGACGTCTTTTTTACTCCAAGTCAAATATAAAGTAAATTTCTCAATGTGGACATAATAAACTATAATAAAAAGTTTAAAGATGAGAAGGTGGAAATTTTAAAAAAAAAAAGAAGAAGAGAAAAAGTGTGTTTTATATTTTTATTTAACAAGAAGAGGATCATGGTCATCTTTTATATCAAAGGCCTTCGAGAAAACTAAAACACCATTGCTCCCACCTTGAAAGAGAGAGAGAGTTCTTCACAGCAACTAGAGAAAGGATCCAAAGGGATCGCATTGATCCTAATTAAGCTGATTTATTCCCCAATAATTGTTTTTTTTTTTCCTTCTCAATCGAAAGATGAAAGAAAAACAAATTCCAAACATTTTGCTTTCTTTTCCGGATCATGCGATCTCTTTGGATTCATTCTTTGGTAGCTTCCACTCCGGTCAAAAGGTTTCATGACCGGAGACATCAACGGCGGGAGGCTCTTCAATGAGTAGATCCAGTCATATCAACAAGCAAAAAGTAAGAAAATTTTGTTATATACATGTAAGTTTGAAAGATTAAGGATACATTTCAAGTTGACAAGAACATGGTCTTGTTCCCTTTTTTTTAACCCTCACATTTTATTATTTGCACCTTTTTTGGCATTGATTTGCTTCTTTGCTATGGTTTTACATTGATTTGCTTATAGAAATTATATTTAAAATTAAGCTTTTTTACTATCCTGTAAGCATGAAAACAAAATATACACCTTGGACATAATATGTCATCGTAATCATTTTTTTTGTCTATAAAGAAATTACTGAAAAGTATATGTATCAACTTTATAATTCAAAATTACGTTTCATCAAAGTTACTCCAAAATCACGATCTATGAAGTGCTTGGATCCCGTAAATGAGATCAGGTTCATTTCGTCTTGAAATTGATTAAGAGGAATATTAGCGTTAACTATAACCATGGAAAATGGGTGAAACTGAATGAGTTCGAATAAAACCAAAACTTTTTGCTGATCAGAGATTTGTTTTCTAAAAGAAAACGATTCGAATATTTCCTATATAAGTTAGTAAATGATGACTGTCTAATTTGAGTATACATACGGTGTGTAAATTGTTAGCGTAATTTCTAAGGCTACGCCTACACTTGCTGTATTCTAGATAGAAATATGTGACCATTGATATATTAAATCTCTTCTAGAGTTATTCGATGCTTTGTGAAAGTGTAAAGAGACTTCCAATACAAAGATTGGCATCCTTTTATTGGAAAATTGCTAACTTTTAACTGTAAAGTAATTAAATAGATAATGATATTCACTGGTCAAGCTTTCTTCTCTCCATTGATCCCTATTAAAAGGATTTCAGCCACTTAATTTTTTTCTACCGTGGGTCAACCTTTAATTAGATCTAAGATCAATGTCAAATGTATGCAAAAGATGTTTAATGCTTTATTGTTGAATGTCTTTGTTATAAAACAAAAAAATTCTCTTTCACATTTTTCTTTGCTCTCGTTTATTCGCATAGCATTGGATTATCCTCTGCTTTGTGAAGAAAAGTTGGACAATAGAAATCAAGTGATCAATGAAATAAACTTATGTTCAACAACTATGCCTTCTTTAGGTATTTGAACCTACATTGTTTTCACTAATAACTTAAGGTATCTTCTTTTCCCACCAACTCCCATGAACTGGTTATTACAATGTACAATGAATACAATTTACCACTCTCATGACCTGATTATTATATCTTACCCACACCAATCAGTGAGACTATATACATTCCTTGCAATAAAAAAAACTATGCAAGGCGCCACACTTCATTCTCTTTTTGGTGAGTGTTTAATTAGGCATAGATATATGCAATACCAATCGCTTGAATCTTTAACTTAGTGAATGTTTCTCTGAAGTAACATCTTCACACTATATATATGCGCTACTTCTGATGGAATGTGCAGGTCTGGTATTTGACTTATATATCTACATCTATTATTTATTCTCTCCGGTTTTTCATGGTGTCTTTCTATAAGATCTTATAATAAACCTCTCTTTTTTAGTTAGTTTTACATTTAGATAAAAACACATAATTCTTTATAGTAAAGAACTAAAGATTAATGTTTTGTACTTTATGTACTATTCCATATCAACATATATTTGTATTAGTCTTGGGAAAGCAAAAAAATTTAAAAGACTTTTTTTTCCAAGTATGAAAGATTTAGTTAAAAATTTTAATCAGTAACAGAATTCAAGAGTAATGTTTATTACATAATTATATACTTTAGAAACCTGCTCCAGTTTTGAATAAAATAAAATAAAAAAATATTTGTTCGAAACTCCAAATCCAGCTGAATTAGTTTTGCATGTTTTTGCACGAAAAAAAAGAAAGAATATATAGTTTACGTATGACCATATTTTATGTTTTAATTTTAAGAATTTCCATCCATTTTGGGATCTACTATCATGTAGGCTGTAGTCTCTAGCTATAGCCAAGAAAAAAAAATGACAGATAGATTGACAATCGTTATAAGAAAAAAAGAGAAAGATTAATACTCTTAATCATACACAACCTAAATAAATATTAAAAAGATACTTACGTAAATGATATGAAACTTATTTAGATAAATGATCAAATAGAATCTTAATCTAATAATTAGTAAAAAGTCAAATACACATGTGAACGCGATGGAGATATCTATATTTGTTGTGGGAATGACTTAAGTCGACTGTCGACGTCGGAAAACAAAATTTCAGAGTCATGACTGAAAGAAAATTGAAAATTCCATCATAATGTTAAGAAAAAAATGTAATAAAGTTTTTGCATGAGTGTTGATTTTCCTTTTGTTTCTACAAAGTCAAGCCACGTACATTGCGTAAAGGCTGATTTTGATTTATAAATTCATTTTAGACTTTTCAATACTCAACTTTCTATAAAATATATACTTTATTGTTATCTCAATAACATTGTGAAAGCTGTGTGTTACCGTTATTAGACTCAGTCATTCGCTTCGTCACTTGTACAATAAAATGTCGTCACTCATAGACATATTAAATCCTCATGTGATTTTTTTGTTAGCCTATCTTTTTTTTTTTTAATAATAAAACAGCCTGTTTTAGTTGCACCTTCATGTGCGTTTTACCGACTGAATTGGCGAGATAAGCTTCGGATTATAGCAACAAAGAGGAGATGTGATTCGAGTCGATTGATATAGATACGAATCTATTTGTTACAATAGTAAAAAAAAATATAAAAATATTTCATTTTCAAGAAATAATGTCATAAGAAGTCAAAGGAAGATATTGTCATTATGGTTAGTCAAATAAAAAAATTGTAAGCCAGCAGTTACGTTCATACCTGCTTTCCGTTGACTTTTATAATAACTACACTAGTCTTTTGAAATACTCCATTACCTAATTGCATTTGTTCCAAAAATATACCACTACTAGTCTTAACAAATTGTAATTAGACTAGGAAATAATTTTTATTTGACCAAAATTATATTAAGAAATTTGGATTTTTCTTAATAATAATCAGTTGATAGTAAGATTTTATGGATTGGAATAATTGATTTCCTTTCCAAAAATAAACAATCATGAGATCCTTTCATAATTATTTTACACTCAAGATTCTTTTCTATTAGGGGAGAAAACAATAAAAAATAAAAGTGTTTCCTTTATATTTAATATTTAAAACTTGCGTTACCCATTTTATAGGATCTCGTGCAAATAATTCATACATACAGACGTATCGATCTTGCTGACCCATCAATTAAATTTTGACCCAAAAGGTCAAATTCACTATAAGAAAAACAGAATTCATTTCATCAAAATTCCATTTCACACTTTTTCTGTCTGTTACGATTCTTGCTTGATTTCTTTCTAAACAAAGCAAAAGTTGTCTTTTTGGAGTTGTGAGCAACTAATTCTCTGAAATTGAGGAAGAGAAAGCGAGAAGGTTTTTTTGGAGTCAGAGACAGAAGAAGAATTTGACAGATTCTTGTCGGAAACATGGATACGAGTGAAGCAAGGAACCGTAAAGTTGTTGCAGTTGAACAATTCGATCTCGAAGTCCCTGAGACTGCTCATCAGATTAGCAGCGGTTCGTTTCTTATCCTCTATCTTTGGATTTTTGTTTTTGTTTTTATTGTCCTTGTTTTTTGTTTGTTGCTGCTCTTTTTTGGTGAATCTACTTGTCGTTTATTGCATAATCTCGAGCTTTTCTTGAAAAAAACTCATTTATTATTGGGGGGTTTGTGCTCCTTTTTTCATTAAGCTTTTCTTGAGAAATAATACACAGACAGAGAATGGAAAGGGTCGTTTAGCTTTGTTTGTCTTCTTTGTTAGATTGAATGATACTTTGTTACTTGCTTTTACCCTATAAGCTGCTGAAATATGACACATCAAAGAATTGAACTGATGTTACTTTCCAAATCATGTTGTCTCCGATGATGTTTGCGGTGCCCTATAGTGGAAAATGTTGTCTTTGATGATTCAAGAATGTGAACATTCAATAACTTTAAGTTTCTTGATCAGTTTTTGTCTTCCCCAAAGTTTTAAGCTATGAAAACTCTGTTTTTTTTTTTGTTTTCTGTTACTCTGAATTTACATTGAGATGAAAAATGAGTGGCTGAGGAATATAGAAATAATTGACAAATAATATATACTCTGTTTTAGTGTTGCATGTGTGTGAAAGCTTAAGTGTTGAAGAACTTGTACAGATTCATGGTTTCAGGTAGCTTTTGTTCTAACGACCGGTATAAACAGTGCCTATGTGTTGGGATATTCCGGGACAGTCATGGTTCCTTTGGGTTGGATTGGTGGTGTGGTTGGTCTCATTCTTGCTACCGCAATCTCTCTTTACGCAAACACTCTTATCGCCAAACTTCATGAGTTTGGTGGCAAAAGACACATTCGTTACAGAGATCTTGCAGGCTTCATCTATGGTAAATTCTCCATCACTCTCTCGCAATATCAAAATACATTTCAAGTTTTACATTTTAACGAGAATTGTATTTGCTTGATTGATTCAGGTAAAAAGATGTATCGTGTTACATGGGGATTGCAATATGTCAATCTTTTCATGATTAATTGTGGCTTCATCATACTTGCTGGTTCGGCCTTAAAGGTACAATAACCGAAACAAACCGTTTTGTTGCGAAAATCCGAAAGTTAGCTCATATGGCTCTGCTTTTGCATTTTGTGCAGGCTGTTTATGTACTTTTTAGAGATGATAGTCTCATGAAACTGCCTCACTTCATCGCCATCGCGGGTGTTGTATGCGCGATTTTCGCAATCGGTATTCCTCATTTATCAGCTCTTGGAATCTGGCTAGGAGTTTCAACAATCCTCAGCATAATCTACATTATTGTTGCAATAGTTCTATCAGCTAAAGATGGTAAACTTTTATGTTAAATCAAACCTCGAAAATGATTTCATAT